CAAACAGAATACTGCGTAATTAATTTCTCTGAGGCTTGACAAGTGTTAAAAAAAAAAAGATTGTTTCAAAATATTCTCAAATTTTTCTATTCCAAAATAAAATTGATATACGGATTTTATCATTATTGTTGGAACTACGTCGCGGCTTTGTTGCAAATTAAATGATCAAATGAAAAAGACGAAGCGAGTTTGTTGATTTGTTTCAAAATCATTCTGTTCAATGAGAAATTCTCAAACAAGTTTTACAACGTTCAATCAAGAATATATTAATGTGAAAATTAACTTTAGAAACAGATTCAGAAACAAATTAATTCGCAATTAAAATGCCTCCTACAAGTCACAAACTTTTCCGATTTTAATCAATTCACTGAAAACAAACTGTTCTCATAGGCGAGTAATTATAACGCGATCCGAAAATTCCACCATTCGACGATTCGCCGGACGTTAATCAATTAAACGGGAGAGTTATTGGCTTATTATTAAACAAGAATAATCGACGTATAAAACGAGCGAGCGGTGCTGCGATTGCACGGCTATTGCGAGCTTCTCTAGAATGAACGCTTCAAAATCCAGACCCGCAATCGAGAGAAAGGGAAAGAATATCGGTGAGTAACACCGCTCGTACTGAACTTTTAATACGGTCGTTGAATTCCATGAGCTTCGGCGTGCATTCACGTGCGTGCATTCGCATGCACCTACATACACGCGTGTAGGCGTATGTGTTCGCGAATGTCGGATAAACAGACGTCTGCGATATTACCGGCTAGAGGAATCAAATTTCCGTTACTTCGATCCGGAATTTCGACTGATCCTATCGTCCGAGAGAGGAATAGAGAGAAAGAAAGAAAAAGAGAAAGAGAGAGAAGGGGCTCTGGTTATACAGGTTGTCCGACGATTTTATGTTATAACTTGGAGATCTTATTCCCGAAATAGCCTCGAATCAAAAATACCTCTAAACCTACCAAGTAGGTCAGTACAGGGTTTAGCTGTTATCCGCTAAAAAATACTATTGTCCGAAATGCAGTTTGTATGTTCTGTTATTTTATTTAATTTATGTATAGGGTTAAATATACATACAGAATGATTTGATCAGAAAATTGGTCAATTAAATTATCGTCATTTTATCTGGTTTCATTCTGCAAAGATTGTTAGAGATAGTCGTTTTCACTTTGCTTGCAAAATTAGATGTGATATAATATATCGTATTTCACATCTTTTTAATACATGGACATGTGTTTGCTTGCAATGATCTGAAAATATCAGATTTTTAAGAGTTTTCTTTCAATTATTTCGCATTGCGCATATATCTTTTATGAATAAATATCAAATTCTTTTGTATCGGCTTCCTTTTTTTTATATTTTTTTATTAAGTCTTGTAAATTTTTCTTTAATAATTTAATAATTTATGCATTTTGTGGAGATATATTAACACATCTGAAGAAAATTAATTGAAGTAATATTCTTCTATTATTGGTTTCGGTTTTATATACGACGTCTTTTATATCCTATTAATAAATAATACCACGTCTTTGATACATGCTGAGAATCTCCATTTTGAATCTCTGTAGTGTTGGTGAAAATCATAGAGAAAGAGAGAGAAAGAAATTCACGTTTGTATAATATTTTTAATTCAATATCATGTCAAAAATAAAATCCTGAAGTACTTTCTATCTGCAATACGTCAACCCGACTTGACTACGAGATGCTCAAATCCAATCAGGGCGCGAGATTGGAGAGAGAAGGTTGCTGAAAATAATATTTACATTTTATTCGATGATACTACGTTTCGTCAATATTTTCCCGTTGCTAAGAAATGATATATGATAAATAATGGAAAATGTATTCCGCAAAAATAGGTTTTAACTTATCCTGCTTTTCACGTTTCTTATATACTTGTCACAGATTTAATGTTAAATGTCACTATATTATTATCTCGAAAATAAAATAGTCGATTTTAAAAATCAAATATATTCGAATGTAGTTAAATGACTTTTTTACTTAATTAATTAAATAATAATTAAATTTGATTAAAATTTGATATTTTCACACAAACACTTGTTAATATAAAAACTTGTATTAAATAGCCGTTAAAACATTTTATATTATCTCTTTTTTATATTATTTCGATGAATCTCATAAAAATTGAAATGTATCTTGACCGAATTATTACAGCGATATTTTTTACAATGAAACAGATAAATACGAAATAAATAAAATTTAAAGAATAGAAAGAAAAAGAGAGAGAAATATCGATGCATTAATTGAAAACAACTTCCGCGCGCAATTTTTCGCAGCCGTTAAAAACTGCTTATGGCTGAGATAAATCATTCATCCACACACTTCCGATACAATGTCGCTCTCTTCGGACACCCGCTTTGTAACCGCCGGGAAAGTTTCGTTGTCGACGCATTGGCTTTAAGCTTGTAAAACGATCCTATTTCCATAACAAAGGGGAGCCCCGCGACCGTTATGAATTGCAGATTGCACTGAAAAACGAATTTAAACTTCTGTACCTTACTTTCGCTTTTAATGCGATTAACCCGATCGTTACAGCGACTCGCCTGTCTCGCCGGGCAATTAAAAGATAAAGCAGAGAAGTTAACTTTGCGCTCTCTGTTTTGCCAGTGCGACTGCATTATGTCTGATCTTCTGCAGATTGTATCTGCATATAGTGATACCTTATCTTAATGTCTATGCAAAGCGTTTTTCATTAGAAATACGCTACGTAACTTGTGCATTATCATATTATCAAAACAGTGAAAAGAAAAGATCAACGGATTTGTTCCATTAAAATTCGTCCGCGCGTAAAGATTTTAAAATATTTTAATACTTTACTCGCTAAAAGTTAAATTGTTTGAGCTCGTCTTTTTTTCGACGAATGTTTATCCTTAATTCCGAACAAGACTCAACGTTTCCCTCAGCGTCGCGTAAAATTTCTTTCCATTTAGGGTCAGCGTGAGATTAACGTAGCTGTGCGATTTCCCTGCGGAAGAATTTGCGCTTCACGCGCGGAGAAGACGTAAAGCCCTTTTGCGGAATAAAAGGACGCAAAAGCGCGGAAAGCAAAGTGGCGTTCCGCTATATACGTGGGGACTCCGGTCCGCGGTTGCATCATATTTAATCTTTGCATTTCTCCTTTCCACTTCGCGTTCGCGCTCACATTACTCTGCAGTGCACTTGAAAATATCTTTTCATATCCGACCCGACTGTCTGAGCTTTTATCGCAACCAGCGTTTTAAATCTTTAATGACTAGCGTACCGCAAGCGAGGCTCTTGAATAAAAATCATGTGTACGTTAATCTATCTATCAATATTTTCCGCGAGAAGTTGTCCCAGTTTCTTAATAAATAGAATCGAAATTCTATTAACATGAAATATTTTTACAGCGAAAAATATAATTTTTTTATGTACACTTTCATCATTCCAAAATTTCTATTTGTGATAATTTGATTAGAATATAAGAAAACTTGGAAAATTAATTTTTAAAATGCATTAGAGTTTTAAATTGTTAACAAAATTATTTGACAAGAAGAAATTTACATATAAAGTAACAAATAATAGTCTTTCTAGAAATTTTCAATAATACATAAAAATTTCTCATAGAGTATGCTATTAAAATTAACATTTTTTCAATGTTCTTTTTTAAAGTCTTTTTAGATCAAAGGTAAAAGTTTTTGGTCAATTATAACAAAAGCTTATAATATTTCAGAAGCTATAAGTAGATTTATACGTATATAACTCGCATTATTATGTTATATATATATATATATAACACTTTTCAACTCATTTTTTCTTCATTCTGTCCTCGTTTTTAATACCCATTGATATTCTCGTTATTTTAAATTTCAAATCTACCAAAAATATAAAATAAAAAAATATATAATAAAATATATCCTCTATACTTTCATTTCGTTTATCTTTTAATGATTATAACTACAATTTATTTTAGAATAAATTATCAACTCAGAATGTGAAATATTAGAAATAGAGTAGATTTTATTTTTCCGAATAAATAAACAGTGGTTCTGAGATGATATATGTAAATATCTCCAAGTTATTAAATTTGCTTATTAAACGTTCCGAATTAAATGTTTCTATTTCTATTATTATTTATATAAATATACATGTAAAATATTTAAATTATAAATATGTAATCAATTCTAAATCTAATCGCTCGAGCTCTCTTCTAATTTCCGCTTCTCTTTGCCTCCAAAAAAAGAAATAAATGTTTATTATAATTTGCAACTACGGTTCAATATACAACATCGAATTCTAACGATAAAAATAATTCTAACTCTCTTTTCTCACTTCCATTCTACAATTCTTTAAAAATGGCACGAACAAAATTATGTCAAGAGTGACGCGTGTCTATCTCGTGGCTTGTCAAGCTACGATCTACATGAACCGTAATCCCACATTTCCATGGAGATGAAAATATCGGATGAAATGATTGCGTATTCGGTGATCGTAAAAGACAGAATAATTGCATAAAATACACAAATAAATCAGATAAAAAGCAGAATTTGAAAGCAAATCTTAGAGAATCGAAAACATGAAAAAAAGTGTGAAATAAATAAATCGAAATAAATTAAAAAAGAGTTCTTATCACATGTTTATCATCACTATCACACGTTAATTAACGCTACGTGTTTGGATAAATTACATATTAAGATTCAATCAAGTTTCTCTTTCTGATTTCACAAAATCTTCTACATTTCCATTTTCGAAAAATCATCGCGGCAGAAACACACCCTGGACATCGTACAGGGTGACCGATATATCTCGAGCCACGGTCAGTCGACCTTTCCACCCCGAGAAGTCGACAGCAGCGCAAGAGGGTCGGAAGTCGGAAGGGAAGAGAGGCAAGGAAGAAAGATGTGTGTGCGAAGGTAAGCGTGACCATCTGCGAAACGCTCGTTCGCCCCCGCTCGTGCTCGCGATATATATCGCGTGCACGCGCGTCCTCGCACGCGTGTCGGTTGGTCGGCGAGCTGGTACAGCAGCAGCAGCAGCAGCAGCAGCAGCAGCAGGGGAAAGGGCACCAACAAGTGGTGACGTTGCCGATTGAAACTCTGCCCGATCCTCCGGCACCCACGCTGTACCTGGATAAGAATATGCCTACGGAGATCAAGCAGTTGTTACAATATCAGGCACAGATACCGTACGTCGTCACAGCGAATCGCATCCAGTATAGGCCGAAGAGCATCTTCATCCCCAAACCGTTGTCCGATAACGAGAAGGAACTTAATTACTATCGTAGCAAGGTTTACTATACGGACGATGAAAACATCGACGCGGAATATTCACAGAACAATCCGATCGACAAGGACCAGCGTCATTAATTGTCTGGCCTTTAATACGATTAAAAATAAAGAGAATAACCGTGTTGCTGCAGTCGGGGAATGACGCGAACAGAGTGCAGCAATTTTGCGCAATACCGCCGGAATACCGGGCGTTTCGGGAATGCGGATCAGCATTTTCCCGGCCATCCTCTATTTCTCTGCCACCATCTCTCTCTCCTCCTCTGACCGAGCACAGGCTCGATGTCTTTCCAACAGTCTTCTCCTTTCGCGACTCTCCATAACAACTGCTCCGTATTCGCATTCTTTCATCTCGGCCGCGTCGCGCAAATTATCAAGATCGCGGCGCGTATTTCTTATATTATTTGGATTAAAATTTAAAACATGATATTGATAATATCAAAAAATATATAAAATATCGACAGTTGTTTGCGTCAGATTCGGCGAACCTGTCATTTCTTTAGCATTTCTTGCGAGAAAACATCCATATACATAATTCTCCGTAACGTTCGAATGTTTAATCCGCTCATCTCTCAAAATCATTTTATTTTCAGGCATTCACATATATGTTTCAACTTCCGACTTCAAGCTAGATATGTTTTGAAACTAAAACAGCCGATTAATGCACTTACGTATCTACGCTATGTCTCGTCTTCGCGAGAAGCTAACAAATTTCGCGCAGCTCGTAATTGTCGAAAGTCTCGCGCATCTCATTCACACGAACAGGGCAAACAAGCGTAGATTGACGAAACGGCTTTCCAAGCCCGTCTCTGGATCCTTCTGGATCCGCGCGAACAGAAATCGGTTTACAAGAAAGTCACGCCCGGGAACGCGACGAGTCTCCCAGGCCATCGCAGAACTTTGATGAATGTCAGTCTCTTGTGCACAAAGCTAACCATTGAAATCCCACCCTTCTTCTCCAACGTGCATCCTGCCGTCTATGAAACGTAAGTACTACGTCTTACGACAACGCGAAGCATTATTTCGTTACTCGGCCTCGAGATTATGCACTTGCTACCCGCTAAGAGCACAAGAACCAATTAATAGTCGGGCGGTATGTTTGTCGGCGCAGAGACAGCGAGCACTTTTGATCTACTCTAAAATTACGACAAGGCAGAAGCCGTAGAAAGGATCGCTCGCTCGCTCGCGTATATTTGTGTGCTTATTGTGATTCGTCGAGATAAAGACCGACGTGTGCACAGCTTTTTGCATTGATTACTAATTCGCATCCAGTAAATTCCGCTCTATCGTCTTCTCCAACGACGACTGACTGTCTTCTCGAACCGGCAATCATTTAATTATTATTCAACTGCGAACATCGCGTGTCTGTAAATAATGATCAGATAATAAACTTTGAAAAAACTGTTCTATCTAACTGTCCTATTTAATTAAATTTGATTGATTAGATAATTTTTGTGGGAAATCCTTCGATACAAAAGATATGAATAGTAAAATCGTAAGGGAAAGATTTTTCATTTCTCTGGCACAAAATTTCTTGACATTTTTTTTTGTAGCCTTTGCGATATTCTAATGTATAATTATCGCAGAATTATATTTAAGAAATAATAGTTAAATATATCTTTCTTATGGATCAGAATAATATGAGTGGGAATTAAGTTTGACTTATTGTTAGAGTTAATTCTTTTTATCAATTACTGGATTCAATTATATCTACAATATCGCGCAAAAAATGTATTTGAGAATAGTAGACGGTCGTTAAATTAAACTCCGGTGAATTAAATGGTCGTAAGGTTAATATCCGCGTTGTAACTTCTCAAGCTGTTCTTTATCTATAATACGCAAGAGGTGCTCGTAATGCAAAAGTGCCAGTAAATTAACAGTAAATTTTTAACGAACGAAAATAATAATAAAAATTCTTCGTTCTCGCATAAAACACCTCGTCATTAACCTACATTGTCGTGATTTTACGAACCTATATATAATGTGCTAAAGAGTGAATAACACCAACATAATCACACACACACACACACACACACACGCTATAGCAGTTTTCCGTTCCATAACTAACGTTTACTCTTCAAAACTATATTCTCGATACATCTAAGGCTGTTGGTTGCTGAAAACAAAAACCGCTGCAAAAATATTAATTACTTGCTCGGGAAATAATTATTGCGTGAAATTAAAACATTCATTTGCGCAAGAAAAATTAATATTTGCTCTTATATATTCATAGATGGAAATTTTCGATTTGACCCTCGCACTCCGGGTAGATAACGACGGTATAGTTTCGTGGCTCGAAGAAACGTGTTGTGCCGCGTTCTGTGAAGTTTGGCTTAAAGACATCGGCCCCCGATCTTACGCCGCTATTCTCCGATTCGCTTGCCGGAGCCTTCGCCGAACGAATTCGGGTGGAGTTGGAATCAAGTTTCTGTCGCGCACTCGCGGAAACTTTCATCGGAATATCGTCAGCACAAACACACAGGGTCGGCTTTACGAGCTCGTTCGGCGCCAAACTCCTACCTCTTACACCTCCGAGCCGTCGAAATGATAAATAACCGACTTTCCAGCGCACAAAGTCCCGCGAGCACGATTACAACACACATTCATGATTTAATAGTCATTGATTTATGCAATTTATTTATCGACTTTGGAACGCGCGATGAGAAGAAAGAGTAAGAACGGTCAAGCCAGGTCGTCGAAGATGCATGTTAAAAATTTTGTAAATCATCTTCATATATAAAGACAGAAACAATTCAATCTTTTTCCAGAAAGAAGGAAAATACGAGTGCACAGACTTTGCAAAAGCAATTATTTGTTTTTTTTATATACAGGGTGTCCCCAATTTAAATGTCAAAACTTTAGGAGCGTGTAGGGGACCGATAAACTAAGACAAAAAGTCCTTTAGAGATTTGCTCGTTTTTGCTTCGTTTTGAAAAAAATCGTAAAAAATGAAACAAATAATTTTCACCAAAAAACTTAAAACAACATTAAAATTATTAGATTTATCAAAAAGTATTATAAAATAAAAATTGTAGAACATGGAATTAGAGGATTGTAGATAAATACGCGACAACGCGAAACTTTGTTTCTAATCTAATTTTACCTTAGGAGGATTTTAACTCACTCTCTTTTCTTAATTCCATGTTCTACAATTTTTATTTTATAATACTTTTTGATAAATCTAATAATTTTAGTGTTGTTTTAAGTTTTTTGGTGAAAATTATTTGTTTCATTTTTTGCGATTTTCTTCAAAACAAAGCAAAAACGAGCAGATCTCTAAAGGACTTTTTCTCTTAGTTTATCGGTCCCATACACGCTCCTAAAGTTTTGACATTTAAATTGGGGACACCCTGTATATTTTTTATATTGTTTTATTACCGATCTTAGAATTTATATTACGCTTTGAGAGAAGAAGCACATATGAATCAATTTCTTTATGCATACTTTTTCCTAATTTCCCTTACATCCTTGTATCCTTTGATAAATTCACAAACGTGTCGCACGTACATCTCAAACAAATCTCGGCTTGACAGTTGCCTAATACGACGAATTAGCTTAAGACACGAGATTAATAATAATTTCGCTTCAAGGACGCATAAATCTACACCAAACGCGCTCAATGTACTGTCAGAGACGGAATTTATAATTGCAGTGGCAATTTCTACGTGAGATTACGGCACGTCGCAAATCAAGCTTACGCTTGATAGCGAAGTCGACGGAGGAGAGGATCGACGTTATCTGTATTAACTACAGCCTAAAGCGATGACGCACCCTCCCTGAGGAGAGAAGATTCCTTCGACTGTTGTTGCTGGTGCTGCAATATCGATCGCGACCGTCGTTATAGTCGCGTATAAAGGAAGATGTTTCGCTGAGCGATTCCGACGCGTGTTAGAGTGCCGGATTTACGAGGGCGATTGACGCGCGCAGCCCGGTTGAAGCGCGACAAAGCTTAAACTGGATCACCGCGACGCGAAACATCAAGTTCGAAACGTGTCTCCGTTCGGAAGCGCCGCAACTCTCTAACGATAAGCAGTAATTATCATTTATCTTAAATTATCATTTAAAGAATCACGATTACACCGCGAAAAATGCTATAACATTATAATTGATTTTCTCATCTAATTTTTGTTCATTATTCCTCAACTTCGATTATATGATTTGACATGATAGGAGCAATTTTATTACCTGAACTCACGTGGTCATTTAATCTTCTAATAATATCAAAAACAAGCCATATTTTCACTTTCAAACAATTACTAGTATTTGTAATTGAGAAAAGTGACGATTACAAAACATTTTTTATATTTCTATTTTTTTTTACTGATGTTTTTGTTTGTATGTAGACTCAATTCCAAAGTATGATAAATCTCTTTCTTTATCTGTTTTTATAAAATAAATTGATTTCGATTATAATGAATCTGTCGCGAGCAACATATAGGTTGCATCGAAGCGAGCGAACCTTTCCTTGGAAGAAGTTTATCGAGACGCCGACTCCAATTTATGTGTAAACTCGGCGGAAAAGATAACGCGCAACATGCTTGTCGCAACAACAACGGCGAAGCCGAATAAAAGTGATACACAGGAATGTACTGTGCTCCGGTTCAATATCTTTTATAAACCTCCGCAATCCTTGTCTAACATGTCAGAGCGTAATCCTTTGCCTGGTAAAATATTTCTTCTGGAAAATTGCACGCGCGCGTCGAGAAGAATTGTATATTTTAAAGTTTGATTATACGTTTAAAATAGCCGATTAGAAGGGTGTTTTATCTGATTTTCAGTTTCCACCTGTTTTTCAAAAAGCTCGAGATAAAGAACGATCGCGAATAGAGGACACTCGCAAAATGAACGCTCCGGTTCTAGGACGAATTTGGGGAAAAACGAGAAGTAACGATCGTTATTGACGCTATTGTTTCACGTTTGCCGGCGGACAAACACCCGCTAAGCCTTCGAATCAAGCGAAATAGTCGAGATTCCGGCAGAAGAAGACGATCCGCTTCCTCGAGGAAGGAATACGATCGGTTGTGTCGAATCATCCTCCCTGCCTCTTATAGATCGGATCCATCCCTTTCGCGAGGAAGCAGGAAAACGAACGT